ATCGCACATGTATCTTTCAGGTTTCTTCATTATGAAAGGGAATGTATAATATGGTAAATATAACTAAATATTAAAAAATATAGTTTAAAATTAAGCTGCGCATCATACACTGGAATATACAGCATATTCACAAGTTGAGAAGTTCAAACTTAAAAAATAAAAATGGTTATTTAAAACCTTCTTTAAGAGTTTTGTAGTACTTTCACAGATGAAGTGATAACTTTCTTGTCAGTCTAAGTATAAGAAATAAAGGATCTAAAATTTATTTACATGGGATAGAAAAATACAACATCCCCTTGCTAAGAAGTTCAAAAAAGTTCATAGGCTTTGGTCTTTTTTGGAAGTAGTTAGAATAGATCAGAGTTTCTTAAACTGTGTGTCACAACACTGATTGGGATTGCAGAACCTGCAGCAGGAGGTTGCCAAAAATTTTAGCAATTTCGATTTTTGACTTGTTATAATAATTTTACTATTACCAAATATTTTCATAATATATTTGAAACATTAATAATTCAGATACATTATTAATAACATTGTTCATTAATAATGTATCTGAAAATAGAAAAAGACAAGGCAATACAAACAAAGAAAAATAAAAAAGTTTTGATGCAATTTTTTTTACAATAGAAACGTTCACTTTACTTAAAAAATTAATGACCTAAAACTGCAATAGTATATTATCTTACAAGTGAAGAAACTGCCAGTTTCACTTGTGTACAGGTCAGGTTTGTGCAATGCTTATGGGGTCCCCCAAAATTTTTGTAAATATTATTGGGTCCCCACACCAAAAAGGTTTAAGAAACCCTGGAATAGATGATTATTAATATTGTTCATTTTTCAAGAACTTGAAAAGATGTTATTGTTTTTATCTATAAAGATCTATAAAGACAGATGTATGAGAAAACATTGTTGTCAAATGAAAATAAATAAGACCTTTTATTTATCTTTCAGATTAATAAAGTGCATTTTTCATCTATATTAGAAACTGAATGATTTAAAAAGTAATTTTACCTATATATCTCATCAACACTTTGTAAAAAGTGTTATTTTATACCATAGGCATCATACGTAAATATCTATTTCTATTTCCTATTTTTTAACATTTTGATATTCTTCATATTATCTATGTTTGAAAAAGAATTGCTAAAGTAGTAATAGGGCTTTTAAAACTCAAATTAGTTTTAAGTTTTGTTTTTACTCAACAACTATAAAATTATTTGGATATGATAAAATACATACGGGCTATTTGCCTAAGGATAGGGATGCCTCTGTAAAGAACTTCCTATGGAAAACTGGCTTGTAATCATTGTACCCATATGAAAAATAGCCATGCAGTCACCTCATTTGCTTGGGTTTAAATTCAGATAAAACTACCAGTATTCAGTGATCTAAACCAGTCAGCCACTGGTGGGGTTTCAACAACTATAATTTTACTAATGACAATACAGGACATTTTTAAAAAGATAACTGAAATATTGCTCACAAATGGCAACACAACCCAAGCAATTACCAGTCTGATGTACAGGTACGAGATTGTGATGAGAATACTCCTGCTGTCATATGAAACTGCTTTCCAGATCGTAACTCCTGGTGAAGGTTCAATGCAACAGTGATACAGACAGCTTAGTTCTAAACACTTACCTGGCTTCCTTCTAAACATACAAGACCATCACTGACACCAAAACAGAAATGATTCTCATCTGAGAATCTCCACACCACCCTCCAACATGCTCTAGCTTGTGACCACCAAAGTCACAGATTGTACTGATTTGGAGCTAGTGATATAGCTTCTACGGAGTGTATGGTTTGAAGCTGTCCTTTATGTAATCGATTGGTTACAGTTTTCTTTGCCACTCTGATGCTAATAAAAGCTTGAATGTAAACTACAGACACACAGTGATGCATCACAGACATGCAGTATATATGGCAGTTTTTCCTTTCTATGGTTATATGTGTATGGCTAGCCCTCAACCTTGCTGCCAACATGCATGCACAATGAAGACATTCCTGCCTAGGCTGCCGACTCAAGGAAGCCAAAATTTATCACTGGACATTCTTTCACTAAATAATTTTGAATTTGTACCAGTAATTCAAGACAGAAAGTCCTTTTATTGTGAAAGTACCATTAAGCATATAATAGAACAATAAAAGCACCTAGCTCATCAAGTGACAGTTCTAGTTTAGATTTCCCAACTTTTATATGCCTCAATTACAGTATATGATGCAATATATTTTCACTGATAAAAAGTCTCCATGCACTACTTGTTTTTCCATCAGTTACTTTTCACTTAGCCAATGTAGTTGGTCCACCTGCTTTTCAGAAAATATATTGAAGATAAAGTCCTTTAAGTGAATTTGCTGAAATACACTCTTAGACAGGAAAAAAAAAAAAAAAAAAAGGATGCACCAAGAAGGAGTTATCCAAATGGGACGAAAATCGGTAGAAGTGATGTATATGTACAAAAAAAAAAAAAAAAAAAACAGATTACAGTTTGAGAAAAATTGGATGATTTATTGAAGTGATAAGGCTTCACAAAGTGAAAAAGTCAGTAACATGTTTGTCCACCTCTGGCCCTTATGCAAGGAGTTATTCTGCTTGGCATCGACTGATAGGGGTTGCGGATGTACTCCTAAGGGATATCGCGCCAAATTCTGTCCAACTGGTGTGTTAGATCGTCTACATCCTGAGCTGTTTGGAGGGCCTTGTCCATAATGCTCCAAATGTGCTCAATAGGAGAAAGATATGGCGAACTTGCTGGCCAAGGTAATGTTCGGCAAGCAGTAGAAACGTGAAATATGGGGGTGGGTATTATCTTGCTGAAATGTAAGCCCAGGGTGGTGCGACATGAAGGGCAACACAACGGGCCTAAGAACTTTGTCGACGTACCGCTGTGCTGTAAGGTTATGACAGATGACAACCAAAGGGGTCCTACTATGAAATGAAATGGCACCCCAAACCATCACTCCTGGTTGTTGGCCTCTCTGCCAGAACACAGTCAGGTTGGTATCACACCACTGTCCGGGGCATCTCCAGACTCACCTTTGCTGGTCATCGGGGCTCAGCTCAAAGCGGGACTCATCACTGAAGACTATTCTACTCCAGTCAGTGACATTCCAGTACAAATGAGCCCGACACCACTGCAAACAGGCTTGATGTTGTACAGAGGTCAATGGTAGTCTGCGCAAGGGGTGCCGTGACCTCAGCTCACTTTCTGTGAGCCGTATATGAATGGTCCTTGTGGTAACTGAAGCACTAGTTGCACATACAATCGATGATAATGATGCATCTGGGGCTGTGAGTGCCGCTCTCATGATTGCTCAGTCTTCACATTTTGTCGTTTCTCTAGGCCTACTGTTTCCTTCTTGACGCATGTGCAGCCATGGTTCACCCATTCCTGCCAACATAGTCTAACAGTGGCATCATGCCTGCTCAAATGTCGAGTTATTCGCCGATAAGACCAACCGGCTTCTTTGAGCCCAACCACACAAACTCTCTCAAATTCCGACATCTGCGCATATTGTTCCCTCACCTGTATGCGAGGCATAGTTACTGTCTACCAGAGTACATGGAATGAAATTCGTAAAGAATTTATAACCTGGAATCGTAATTTCTCCTCTTAAATATCCTGCCCGTTGCGCAGATCAGATGCACTGTAGTGACAACCGGTCATTCATTGGCAGCCAAAATGTAAAATTTTGCATTTTCCGTTGAAATCTGTATGCATATCAATTTGTGTCCAATTTGCTTTAGAGCTTCTCGGTACGTCATGGTGCATCTTTTTTTTTTTTTTTTGTCTAAGAGTGTAGTTTCCTTTTCCACACTGTACTATCATTTGATATTTCTTTGGAGTGGTTTTCTTCATTTTTAAAACATCAAATTTGCATTGTTTTCTTATTTGCTTCTGTTTGGATCATGGCTACTTCCTTGTCTTGGAATAAATTCTCATTCAAGGTTAAATCCTTAACTTTTGCACACTCCTCTTGCTAAAATTTTATTTTGGTAATAGATAACAATATAGAAATGATGAAGGAATGTATTATTCTTCCTCAGAATAAGATGCTGAAATATTACAGCAATTTCCCTTTGAATGAATAACAGAACCATCACTTAATAAATCGGATTCACTCGTTACAGAATAAATAATCCAATCTTCATCAGATGAAACAAGACTAAATTTCTGTATTAGATTCTTAAGTTCAGAACGTCTACTTAAGTTCAGAACCCCTGGTATAAGAACTTGCATTCAAATACAACACAAAGTCCGAGATCCAGAATTGTTAGAACTTCAGCATTTCTGAATTTCAGAAATTCTGAATTTTAGATCATTAATTTATACATAGCAATATCACATCTAGATGTGTTAACATTGGAGCTTCATTTATTGCTTAGGCCAGATGGGAAAATGTTAACCATCCCAGGATCAGCACCAGAGTAGGTGAAACCAGTGCACTTGTACAAGGTATTGACAAAAATTTTAGAATTTAGATAAGCACCACGCACCAGAAATTAGAGATGACAGAATTTTTTTAATTCAGGAGAGGCACTAGGCAGACAAATTTAGAGATGGTTAGATTTTTGGAATTTACAGAGCTACCAGGCAGAATTTAGGATTCACAAATATTACACTAGCTGGCAAAATATATAGGGCTGGCTCTGCCCTCCCCCAAATACACAAAATCATTCAAGGGCCAAAAATGTGATCCTGAGCAACATTAATCAATGCATTGTTACTGGCCACACTGGGATTCCCTAGTCAGCATGTTTAAAAATGACAAGCGGGAATCTCAGTTCAGAGAAAAATCACATTTAGGGCACATCTGCTCCCTTTTGTTATTACATTCCTATAGTTTCTAAAGAAGATTTTTTTATTATCGTATTTATTTATTTTTGGCTGGTGATTCACAGTTCTATATATTATTCCATATATCATTCCCGACATTGGGTGTCGAGATTTCAGACTTTGTACTGTGCAAGACAAAACAAAATATTTACTTTATACCTTAACAGCAAAAGTTTTTCCTGTTGTTTTGTTAATACATTTTCGGCATACAGAATAAGAGCCAGTTCCAAGAACATTTCTTACTTCATACTCTTTAGTAAAAGAATTTTTATACATTTGTTTGAGGTCAACCTGAAAAGTATAAAATGATGATATTTTAATCCCTTGTGAACATATGAAGATAAAATAAAAATAACTAAATACAAAACAGTGGTTAACAAAATGAAATTAAAGAAATACTAAAAGCTATTAAAAAATAAATAAGTTCTTTATTCATTAAATGTAACAAAATGACAGCTGATAAATTATATATGTAGATTTAATGCATATTATATATGTAAGTATACAGCATCTATTGTTTAATTTAGGAATAAAAGAATTTATCACTTAAATTGATTTAAACATATAAATAGTGCAGCAGTTCATAAAGTACACCTTATTTCTGTAGCATAAAAAGTTCACTTACATTACTTGTAGCTTTACTAATAGGTTTTTCCTCTTCAAGCAAATCTGTTGCAATATAACTGAAACCTCTAAAGAGTTCATGTGCTGTAGCACTAGGAGGAACTCCTGGTGAATCTGAAATTTAAAAAATTGCATAATAAATTACTACCAATTTGATATTAAAAGTAACCAATAAAAATAAAACTTTTCTAGTATTTTACTGAAATTTAAAATTAGTATAACTTTTTTTCATCAAAATTAACCTTCAGAAAGGAAATTCCAATTATATTTTCATTTTAAAATGTAATTTTAAATATGAATAATACAGTGTACTCTCAATTATCTGGGATAATACTTGGAAACAAGTCATGGATAATTTTAAAAAAAAGGATAAATCACCCTATCAATTTTTATGCATTTATTTCTTAAAAAAGCCAATAACTTTTTTATAATGTTTAAATATTTGTCAAATTTCACAGCATATTTTTCAAAGTACTATTTTATTACATTCAAATCCCTCTTTTGTCAAAGAAGTCCAACAGAATTTCAACTGCAGGTCATTCTTGTCTCAGAAGTAATGTAACCATCAATATATTCCTCACTTGCATTTTCAGTAACACTCTTTGCCTATCCTATTCTTGTCATACTCGAAATGAAATCTGCATCATTCAAGCATTAGCTCACACAATGCTTGAATCAATCTTCACCATTGAAACTTTCTTCAATGTTTTCCCTAATAAAATTATAAAAACTTTACATTTTCAGTTTTTTAGCACAGAACTTCAGATATTGCCACGACTTCTCTACACTTAGATAAACCTCTGATTTCTATATATAAATATTATTTATGTATTATATTAATCTCCGATTTTTACATACTCTTTAGCATAGAATTGAGTGTGTGGACATCACCATGCATGGATAATCCACAAACTAAATAATTCTGCACCCAAATAATCATGAACACACTGCACTTCTGCAACTTCATTAAAGCAAATAAGCTATGAAAATATTTATTACATGAAATTTAGCTGCATATTAAATGGCATAATCACAAATTGTTTTAATTAGTAAAAATGTACATTGCTTAATACAGTAAACATAATGCTAAATTAATGCAATCTTGTCCCCTCCCACATGATTTTATCATAAAAATTCAGTAAATTCAGTTAATATAAAAATTTTATTTTGAAGAAATGAATCATTCCATGTGACAAACAAAAAACTGAAGAGTACTAATGAAAAGCACTGTTAGTGGAATTACATTAAATAAATACAGTGAAGTCCCTTGTAACTGGCAAAAGAGTCAAAAGAACTGCACTTTTAGTCTCTATTTAAATCAAAATTTAGGCCTATGAGATAAAAATAAGTGATAGCTGACAATCTGAAGATTTAATCTCTTCTTGGTTGATGGCACACATCACACGTGCATTTTTATGCCCGTACAGTCAGCGTCGTATACCCTGCAACAAAGAGTAACACTATCCTTGAAAGCAAAGTCGGCACTATTTACACATCTTTTTATATTCCACGATTATTTTCTATACTTCTGAATAATGCTAAGAGATAGTGCAAATAGTCCTACCTTCTACACACTTTTTACAGTGAGATTTGCCATCTTAAATGGATAATATAATCGTGTTGTATTTTCTGTAATTTTGCTTTGTTTAGTTATTGCTGCATGTCAAAATAACTTTTATGCTGGATTCAGAGGGTGGGTCTGAGAACAGTGAATAAAAGTCAAAAAAAAAATTTTTTTTTTTTTTTTTTTTGTTGCCAATGTAAGCATTAAAATCATCTGAAATAAATTATTTCTATGTGGTTTTTTTTAAACTGCAATAGATAAGGAAGAGTGTAAAGCTCCTTTCACGACAACATTGAAATACTATTTTCTAAAACATTTTATATGTATGTTTAATAATTCTTTTTATGCAAATATTTATCTCAAAAACTTAAAAGCAACAGATTTGATACATACAGTACAAGAGAATATATTTTTTTTTTCATTTAAAATTTGAAGATATTGCAAGGAAAACTGGAGATCAGCAAACAGGATTTATAACCCCCAGTTAGGACAAGCAAAAAATTGGTTACTGAAAAAATATTTTGTATTTTTAAATTCAGCTTAGAACATACATTAATTTTCAGCGATAAAAAAAAATTGCTTTTTTCAGACTAGAAATTCAAATTAAAATTTGACTAAAAATGGGTTAAATGTGGGGGGGGGATGTATATTATGTTTTTACTGTCCAATGTAACAAGCCTTATCCAACAAATGAATTATCTGGAAAATCAAAATGAAATTACCAATTCCCTTTCATGCATCAATGTGTGAACTTTGAAGGCAGTGTCCACGATTTTTAGAAACAATTCATATTGAAGAAGAAATATTTATTTTGGCTTTTGCTCGAAAAGATGTAAAGAACATTGCATCACTGTAGGTATAAATTGTAGACTATGATCATGTTCACAGATGACAAGTCTAGTAATGAAGCTTCATTTGGCTGTAAAACACAATAGGTGCCCATGTCTACCATCTTGGATTTAGTTACACGTTTGCAGAAAATTAGTTTTAATGAAAAGAATACATAGGATTGAATGGATGTAAACAATTTTATTTGCTGTTACACTCAAGTTGATAGCAAAATAATCAGACATGTAATGGGAAAGGATAAAGATGGTGGTGGAGGAAGCAGATGAAGACAACATGAGGAATAAGAATGATGGATTGCACACTTTTACAAGATTTGCACAGCAATGTTAATTTATGTCAGTATGTGACATTATAAAGCTTCATAGTATACCCAGCAAATTTTTAAAACAATGGAGACACTCTCATAATTAGGTAGACATTCTAAGCTACATGTTCATGATATTAATAAATTAATAATTTTCATGTAATAATATGTATTTTTTTAAACATAAAATCTTCTGTACTCATTTTAATTTTAAATAATCTGCATGATTTTCAATATTATTTACTGAATTGTGGCTCATTGGTTGAAAAATACAACCAATTGGGTTCGCATGGTGAAACGAAAATTTACTTTAAACATGAATGGGTAAATTCTAGAAATAAATATTCAATTATCCAGAAAAATCTCTTGTCTGGAATCAATAGGGTCTCACTGCTGCTGGTTCAGAGAGATTCTACTATAATATCTTTCAAAAACATCAAAGTACCATATTTGCCAGTGTATAAGATGCACATTTTTCTTTGAAAATACGTCTGAAAAACTGGGGACATCTTACATGTCGATATGCGTCTTATATGTCGATACTCGGTTTTTGAATGCATTCATTTCAAAATTGCCCCCACAATTGATTTTTAAAAGGAAAATACGACCCAAAGAAAAACTGCCTAAAGGAGTATTTATACATGTTTGTGCAAAAGGCTGGATTGGATGGAGGAGGATAAAGTTATAGATAGATAAAATTTGGTCGAGGTGCCCTGATGGACTGTTGAAGAAAGCTGCTCTACTAGTATGGGATCAGTTTCGTTCTCACAGAACAGAAGATGTTAAAAATGAACTCAAAGTATTGAAAACTCAGTTAGCTGCAATTCCAGAAGGCCTAACTAGTCAGCTGCAACCTTTAGATGTCTGCATTAATAAATCATTTAAGAGAAATTTATTTTATGAAGGAAAGTGAAACAGCTGGATGCAGTCTCTAGATTTTAAGGTTACACCATCAGGAAGAAGGAAGAGGTCTAGCATTTCACAAGTTTGTGAATGGGTCAAAGCTTCATGGGATGCTGTGAAAACAGAGACAGTGGTTAAATCATTTAAGAAGTGTGGCATTAGTAATGCACTGGATGATACAGGTGACAATTTGTTGCACGAGGACTCAGATGCTGATATAGAAGATTTCAAGTGGCTCTTCATTTAGCTCTGGAGATGAGTGTCTGGGTTTTTGACAAAGTAGATTAAAAGGTGTTATTTCCCAGACAGATCAGGTATTTGCCCAAAGTATTACTTTGTACTTGTATTACTTTATATTTAAAATACTGTAAATTCATTATAATAAACAATAATAATGTTTTATCCTTCAAAAATGTGTATAAAAAAGGTGGTGCATCTTATAAGTCGGCAAATATGGTAATTTACCTATCATTTAAACTTGCATATACCAGGATTTGTAAATTTTAAAAAAATTATCATAAAATCAAACTTATAAGTGCATTTAAAAACACAATGCTTAAATTCTATTACATCACTTTAGATACAGGTACCTAGACTGAATAAATCATTTTAGATATAGGTACTTACGAGTAAAAAATGGTAGATAAGATAATAAAACACTTTTACTAAGAGGTTGTCTTTGCATACTTTTCAGACGTATTATGACCAAATGTCCTTGTACTATAAAAGGTTTGTTATTAATTTGACAAGCACTTAGGGTTTACCAAAGAAGAGAAGAAAATAAGATAACAATAAAACCTACGCTGACATCGCCAAGGCACCAACCTCAAACAATAACACCACCATATTAATATACCCCAAAGACGCCAGACTCTGCCGAAATCTACAAGACAAGCTCCAGGAAATCATACCTCTCCACGAAATGAATGTGAACATTAAAAAAACATCACCAACATTAGACAAGGAGGCCTGGCTATACACTGCCACAAGGCTGAAGACGTCAACAAACTGAATGAAGCCCTGAACAACCAAGCTCGTGTCAAATCCCTCATAAGCATGAAAATCCCTCAGACCAGAACACCAAAATGTACAATCCACGCACTCCCAAAAAACCTCACAGAAGAAGATCTACTTAGAACACTCACCCAACAAACAGGAATACGAGTACAAGACATCAAACCACTTTTCAAGCTTAATGGACCAAACAACACAGACAGATGGATTATTGAATGCCTTGGCCACTCCTTCGACAAACTCATGACAAAAAGACAAATATTTCTTGGATGGAGAACAAACAAAATCACAGAATACACAGGAGCAAGAAGGTGCCAGACATGTCAAGACTTCGCACACACAAAACGCAAGACTGCGAGTACAGTACACGCTGCTCCTACTGTGCAGGAAGACATGAGGCAGCGGACTGCACAGCTCAGACACCTCATTGTGTAAATTGCCTGATCAACAATGAAAAATTCAACGCCAACATTGACTGCAGACACCCCGCCACCTCCCTCTCATGCCCCACTTACCAACTTGAAGTCCGAAAAATTAAATCTAGAACAAATTACAGAAGCTAAACAATGGACCACAACGCTACTCTACCAACAACCGCACTACTCTCATCTCAAGCAAACTCCAACAACATCAAGCTCCTACAAATAAACTTACAAAAAGCTAAAACTGCAAATGACCAACTCACCCAACATCTTCAAGAAAATCCCGCCGACTTCATTACCATCCAAGAACCCTACTGCATACATGGACAAGTGGCTCGCATACCAAGACAGTGGACAATAATACAACAGCATAATACTAACCATACAACCCCCCCAAGAGCAGCAATAATATTTACAAGCAACAGATGGAACCCAACAATCATCACCTGCCAACGAGACATAATCACCATATCCATCAAAACCAAGAACAGCGAGCTCATGATCACAAGCATTTACATCGCACCAACAGATGACCCTACTCCAGCACTCAACACTCTTTCCCAAGTTCTTCATCAACATCAATGTCCCCCACATCATCAGCGGAGATTTCAACTCCCAAAATACAGTCTGGGGCTACCAACGGACTAACCCCAGAGGTACCCAAATACTTGACTTCATCAACGCCAACAACTTAATTCTGCATAATCAAGAGTCTGACCCCCCCTCATTTGACAACATTTATACGCAAGGATGGACAGACCTCCAACTATCAACCACACATCTCGCCAATCGGATCCAAAATAGAAATATACTGAATGAACACACAGAGTCAGATCATAAAT